TTGTCCAGGCCGGAATATAGTGGCTGGCGTAATCATAGCTCATTGTAACCCTGAACTTTCGGGCTCAAGTAATCTTCCTGCCTCAGCCTCCCAAGTAGCTAGGACTACTTGCTGGCTAATATTTTTTTTTAATTTTTTGTGGAAACAGGGTCTTGCTATGTTGCTCAGGCTGGTTTCCAACTCCTGGCTTTAAGTGATCCTCCAGCCCCAGCCTCCCAAAATGCTGGGATTATAGGCGTGAGCCACCACACCTGGCCAATTCATCCCATTATTTAATATAATCTCTCCATATAGGAAAGTATAGGGAAGGAACAGCTCCCAAGAATTACAAGCATATTATGAGTGGTTCGTAGGATTGTGTGCCTGGTTTAAGGGAAAGGGGGAAAAAAGGTACATTACTGCAAGTTATATGGGAAGGTGGCATGTCTTCCACTTTAAAGCAGGATAAGCAGCAGTGAGGAATAGCTACTTGATTAAAGCCTCATAAATACTGAAACAAGAAGTAAACTCGGGTTTCCAGGTTCCTTTTGTACCACTACAAAACCCCTTCAAGTCACAATACAGACATTTTAAAGAAGCAAGATGCCTGCCTACTAAGATCTGTTGGGCAAAGGAATATAATTTTCAGCATTCTGCATTCAGAGCCTGCTACAATGCTGTCTGGTTTATTGTTAGATAATGCCTATAGTTTAGCTTTCTGCTGCCTCTGTCCAATGAAACCAAAATCCAAAATCAAAGGATACGGTGATAGGGAAACCCAGGAAACAGTTTCCTTCATACCCATCCCACGCCCACAGTATACATTTAGAAAGCTGCACTACATTGCAACCCATCACTGAGAAGCTAAACTAGGGATTTCATGAATAGGATCTTTCCCTTAGCCATTTATTTTATTCCCAAAAGTTTTAGTGCATTTTCCTTTCATTGTTTTTTTTTTTTCCTTCCATTCTGGCTGTTGTGTGATTCCTACATCCCCTCTCCTCCCTTCCCATGCTAATTCTGAAACTGATTCTTGCAGAAGTAAGTTTAACTTGATGCTTTAACGGAGGACTTTGCTGAGAAATAGCTGTTGATATGCTTTGAGAAAGTGAGCTGATGTTATACTCAAAACCTCTAAACCTCTAAAAGGAATAGTAATGGACTAATGCTACAAGGCGGCTCCAGCTCAGTTTCCAAAGCCCAGACAAGACAGCTTTTAGATACCCGAACCCTAGTGCGTTCACTTATTTTGGAAATTTCCTCAGAGGATCCTTTTGATGTGGGCTAGGGCTAGAATCCCAGATGTGACTTAGAGGAGCACTCAGCTGTATGTTATGTTCTGGACCCCGCGTCCCCACCTACTTTGCCCACAAAGAATTTAAAAATAATCCCTGCCAGTCACTGAATTTTTTGTTCTGTGACCATTATTAAAGTGCATATTTAAAATGGGAGGTAAAAATGGTCAAAGCACAGATTAAGAATGGAATGGCAGAGTGTCGATGAAGTGGAGTAAAGGCTGATAGGATTTTTAGACTCGGAGAACTGAAAATCAGTTCTTGTTGAACTTGTGGATGTTGACCTTCTGGGGGGTTTGCATGGCTGTTGTACCCCTTTGGCCCTCTTAACTACCCTGCTACATCCAGTAACCATCTTTTCAACAATCTTAGTTTGGGGACTCAAATAAAGCTTTTGTGTTCTGTTCAGTGAGGTGGTTTTAAAAAGAAGAGAAAAGGAAGACCACTAAAAAGGAAGTAGACACTGGTATCTTAACTTCCCCTGTTCATTTATATGACTGATAAATGCCAAGGGCTTGCCTTTTTATTTGCAGGAGCTTGAGTGCCTCCAGGACCATCTGGATGATTTGGTTGTGGAGTGCAGAGATATAGTTGGCAACCTAACCGAGTTAGAATCAGAGGTAAGCACTGTGCCGCTTACTCATCAGAGGAGAGTGGCTACCAGCAGCCAGGGCTTTTTTGCTTAGTTCTACTGTTTATAGACTCTGGAGAGTGCAGATTCTGTCAATCAAAAGAAACCTGATCAGATTCTCCCTGTTTGCACTGTAAAGAAGCATATTGTGTTGCTTCCTGAACCCTTTCCTTCTTCTCTCTAGAAAAACATTCTATACAGCCCTTTGGTTTTCTTCGTAAATTAGAGTTATCATTAGACCTGTCTTGTTTCTCCCTTAAAAAAAGATAACAGCTATACTTTAAATCTCTTAATCATATTCAAAAGTAATCCCATTCACTTAGCTCTTTTAGTTAGGTCATTTGGTAATGTTTGCGTGTTTAATAAAATAAAAGCCGAGACTTCGAGTTAAACATGGAAGATTGAATACGTGTGTTTATCCCTGTTCCTAAAACCCACTAAAATATTAAAAATAGGATTAACAACTCTCATAAGAATAGGCATATTATTTAGAAATATAGAGACGATTGAGGGTGGGCAACTAAAAATGTTAAAGTTGTTTTGTGGCAGCAGAAAAAAGAGAAGTAGGGAATTTTTTTATCATAAGCCTTTTAGTACTATTTGAATTGACAAAAATTGACAATTCATAAAGCTACATTTCTCAACTAGTCCTTTTTGCTTTATAGTTTTCAAAAGTTTGTTGCCTTCTCTCATCTTGTCATCTCCTCTCCCATTCTCATTGTCCTTGTGGGCTTATGAGGACAGTCTCAAGTGTATAATTCTCTAAAGAAGATGTTATTTCAGCAGCTAGTGCTGCACAGGGTTACTCTGCTTAAGGGCATTTAATATTTTCCCAGAAGCAGTGGTTTGTCATCTGGTTTGAGGGCAGTGATCTAGCATATGAGCTTTTAAACTAAAAGTAGATGTTAGTCATCCCTGTTTTCATTTTGAACTGCTTGGCATTTTGGAAAAACTCCAAAAGCTTTACATAGTCTAATATTATTGCTAAATGTTTTTTCATCCCGCCTTTCTTAATTCTGCCTTTTGTTCATTCGTAAAGAGGAATCTGCCTCTAGAAAATTGGCCTTTCAAAGTATAGTGGAGGAGCAATCCTATTTATTCTGGGGCTATCTAATGTAAATACTATAGTAATTTCTAAATGTACATATTAGATTATTTACTCATCAGATGCTAGTGATTCAGAAAGAGAAACTGCTCCTCTTCCACCCCTGGCTCTTTCTAAAGCAGAATTATTAATATATTTAATCTTCTACAGGATATTCAAATAGAAGCCTTGCTGATGAGAGCCTGTGAGCCCATCATTCAGAACTTTTGCCACGTAAGTGATATCTGAAGGAACAAGGGTTAAAAACAGAACTCAGTTCATTGGGACTCTGGCCCCCAAGTGTGATGGACTCATCAGCGTACATTACTCCTGAGTGATAGCCAGCTTTGACACGTTAAAGTTGGAAATAGAAACAAGATCAAGACAGAGGTACCACCATCCTGAGAAACCCTATTTGATTAGCCTTTGTAGGTGACCAGGTGTGTGGTTAGCAGCAGTTGGTGAGATACCCCTTATAAGAAAAGATGGAACAGGGATACATCTGTTAGTTAGTATGGTGAAATTGTTTCCAGTACTTCAGCCCAGGATTGTTAGCAGTAACAGTGGCTTCTCCTTCCACTTGTTTCCTTGTACCTCAATATTGAGTGAATTCTATTGCTTTATTACTTGTTCATTGATTGAACTACCTAAATCGTGGGAGTGAAACGTACCCAGCAGCCATCAGGATATGACAACCAGGAAGTTATGTTAGATATCCCAGACGCCAGCTGCTGGCATCATACAAGGAAAGTGAGTACTTACAGCACCTATTCTTGTCTCACGCAGAACAACTTGCCGTGTAAATTTTATTCCACTAAATGTTTATCCTTGAAATGTTTCTATCCCTTGTACTTTTTCAGGCTTATTTTGATACAATTTGTGATAAATCTTTTTTGTGAAGGCTTCTAGAATCAGACCTATTTGCATTTTTCGTGGGCTGGGCTAAAAGTTTTGTTCATTCATTGTTACAAATGAAGTGTAAACGTGCACTGTCTTTCCCAGGATGTGGCAGATAACCAGATAGACTCTGGGGACCTGATGGAGTGTCTGATACAGAACAAACACCAGAAGGACATGAATGAGAAGTGTGCCATTGGAGTCACCCACTTCCAGCTGGTCAGTGACACCTGGCTGCTGATTTCCTGTCTTAGCTACATGGATGGTTATTGAACCCCTTCCTCTTTTGGAACATCAAAGCACCTCTGATGTTCTGTGAAAAGTCATTTTTTCCCAAATATGTATATCCTATTTTTATTCTCAATAAATGTGGCTTTTATCTAATATGGCCAGGCACTTTGTTAGGCTCCTTGAAATGTAATGATAAGTAAGACATAGTCCCTACCACTAGGGAGCATATAGTCTAGTGGGTTGGACAAACAAGCAGGCATTTTTTGCTTTGGTCACATTGCACAAGGTGTTTTAGCCTCTCCTTCAACATTTAGTATCATTGGAATCTTTTGTGTAACTGTTCAGTGCAGTGACCCAAATGTATGTCAATATACTGGACTTTAAGCCTTTTTTTTTTTTTTTTTTAATTATACAACCTAGCTCTGGCATTTGAATAAGATATTGAGAACATACTCTTCATAGTTACCACATAAAGCTAAAGGAAGTGTTTCTGGTATAGCAAGCACTTCTTTCCAAGGAAGATAAATCCAGTCCACTGTGTTAATTGACCTCTTCTCAGGGTATCTAGCCTACCTGACTGCAATCAGCAAGTGTTAGGGAGAATCCCAGAAGTGCCAGGTGCTGGGGGATGATGGTGAGACAGAAGCCACCCCGCCCTGTGGCCTCTAGATTCTAGTAGGAGAAAGATACACAAACAAGGGTACAAATAAATGTATAGTCTCAGGTGCTTACAGAAAGAAAAACAAAGCAGAATAAGGGGTTGGAGGGTGAAGGAGAAAGGGACCTTCAAAAAGAGAAACTTGAACAGAAACCTCAAGGAAGTGGCAGAGCAAACCACACAGAAAACTTTCTGCAGAGGGAACAGCATGAGTGTGATTGGAAAGGCAGCAGAGCCAGTGTGCCTGAGCAGAGAGAGCAATAGAGAGGTTGGCAGGTGACGAAGTCTGAGACAGACAAGGCAACTCACGCAGGGCCTTGTGCGCAGCTAGCTGTATGAATAAAATGTCACCCACCACTGTTGACTCCAGCTGGCCACAGAGCTTCTGATTTTCTTTCTCTTCATCTTTCAGGTACAGATGAAGGATTTTCGGTTCTCTTACAAGTTTAAAATGGCCTGCAAGGAGGATGTGTTGAAACTTTGCCCCAACATAAAAAAGAAGTATGTAGCTTTTAATTGATTGATTCTGCTTTCCTAAAGGCCCTCTTAGCCGCTGAGTGAATATCCAAGATGTCAGGCAGCCCCCTGCTGTCTGGTAGGATTAGCCTGGAGGCCTCCTGCTATCTCCTTTAGTAGTGTGGCTAAACGCTTGAATTGTCTGGACAGATCTTCTTTATAGCTGCCTAGAGCCACAACTGGTGGTGGTAGTTCTTACATGCAGAGCCCATAGGCTAAAGAGGCATTTTTAATTTTTCCAGGTTCAGGCTAACTGATGAAGCAGAGATAGATTGTGTACTTAAGAGAAGCAAGTTGCGGTGTGAGTAAAAGGAATGAACTGACTTCTTCCTGGCGTCAGCCCATATGTCATCTCTGAAACGCAGCAGAGGCTTTTATCGAATTAGGTATCTAGTGAAGAAGCAAAAGCTTTCTTTATTCATTTAAGAATTAGGTCTTTGGCCGGGCGCGGTGGCTCACGCCTGTAATCCTAGCACTTTGGGAGGCCGAGGCGGGCGGATTGTTTGAGCTCAAGAGTTCAAAACCAGCCTGAGCAAGAGCGAGACCCCGTCTCTACTAAAAATAGAAAGAAATTAATTGGACAACTAAAAATATATAGAAAAAATTAGCCGGGCATGGTGGTGCATGCCTGTAGTCCCAGCTACTGAGCCCAGGAGTTTGAGGTTGCTGTGAGCTAGGCTGACGCCACGGCACTCTAGCTTGGGCAAAAAGAGTGAGACTCTGCCTCAAAAAAAAAAAAGAATTAGGTCTTGGCTGGGTATGGTGGCTCACACCTGCAATCCTTGTACTCTGAGAGGCTGAGGCAGGAGGATTGCTTGAGGCTAGGAGTTCAAGACCAGCTTGAGCAAAAGTGAAACCCTGACTCTACAAAAAATAGAAAAATTAGCTGAACGTTGTGGTGCAGGCCTGTAGTCCCAGCTACTCGGGAGGCTGAGGCAGGAGAATCACTTGAGCCCAGGATTTTGAGGTTGTAGTGAGCTATGATGACACCACTGCACTCTAGGGCAACAGAGCGAGACTCTATCTCAAAAAGAAAAAAAAAAAAGAGGTTTTAAGGAGGAGACTGATAAGCTTATGTAGTATGGCTGCCCAAATTCGTCCGTGTTGCTCTTTGAGAGGCACATTTGTGGAACACATTTCCCTTCATATAAACCAAGTTCTTATTTTGCTCAATTTTCTGTACCTTTCAGGAATTAGTTTTCATAGTACATCAAAGGCACAGTCCCAGAGTTCAGATCAGCTTTCCTCTGTGGTCACATGTTTTTAACAAGTGTTGAACTGTCCTTGCACACATGTGCCCTGTCTGGCCTCCCTTCCTGTCAGGAATGTAGTCAGCATTCAGACTGCTGCCTGACCTTTATGACATATACAGTCAAATCGTGCCTTTTAGCACTCTGATAAAAATAGCAAGGCTTACAGGAAAGATTCAAAATAGGGGGTCCTGAATTCTTGGTAAATGGGGCAACCCCCACCCCAGCCCAGCTCTTAGGCCATCTGCCCTCGTGTGGCTCCCGCCAATCTCAGGCCTCTCCTTTCCTCGGCAGGGTGGACGTCGTGATCTGCCTGAGCACCACCGTGCGCAACGACACTCTGCAGGAAGTAAAGGAGCACAGGGTGTCCCTGAAATGCCGCAAGCAGCTCCGTGTGGAGGAGCTAGAGATGGTAATGCCTCTGCTCCCAGCAACCACAAGGCCTAGGAAGTTGGGGAGAAGCTAGGGCAAGGTAGAAGATTCCAGCCACTGTTGCAGTGGTTAAGACTTGGAGTCACTGTTTTGTTTTGAGCGATAAAACTTTTTTTACCACACATAACTGAAAGTCCAGCTGTAAGAAAAGCTCTAGGCACATGATACAATCAGTATATCAATAATATCCTCAAGGATTGAGGTTCTTTTCCTCTCTACTCTGCTGTCCTCAGCATCAGCTTCATCCTAAGGCTGGTTTCCCTCGTGTTTGCCCAGTGGCTGCCTGCAACACCTGGCCAACTGCTCCAGTTTTCATCTCCAGCAAAAGGGGCGGGGGAAGGTTAAAATTAAGGTCCTTCCCTTCAATTTGATTGTGTCAGGTTGGAATCGTGGGATCTCTGCCCACTCCCAGACCAACAACAATCTCTAGGGGAAAGCCATGCACTTCAAGCTTCCCGTTCATGGAGGAGAAATGAATACTGGAAAGTTACCTACAGTGTGCACTGTAAGAGGAAACTCTTGCTTTACTTTTGAAGTTAAGCATGACCTGTGTTAAAAAGACAAGTAAAAATATTTTTAATATGTTTATGCTACAGATCATACTAGTTTCACCTCAGGCTAAGCAAAAACTAGCAATGGAGAGCAAACACCATTAATAATCCAAAAGTTACTTATCATATTTTTACATATAGTGGCAGTGATCAGTGAGAATTCTAAGTGGAGCTGGCCTTAATGTCCTGTTACATTAGAGATTTGTGTTAAGCTGGAAGCTTTGTAGAGATTTGTGTTAAGCTGGAAGCTTTGATTCCCTAGCTTTGAATCCAGCTCTTTTAGTAAAATAATAATGAAAGTAGAACTCAACATTTATGTAGTGATTTTAACTTTCTAAAGTGGTTTTCTTTTTTTTCTCTCTTCTTCTCTAAATTGGGTTTCACATAATACTATCTTACTTTATCTCACAGCAGTCCTATGAAGGACTAGACATTGCATCTCAGGGTAGATGAGGTATTCTGTTTTACTAAACAAGGTCCAAGGCCATGTAGCTAGTTGGTGGCAGAACTGAAAGTAAACCCGATTTCTCCTGCTGCATGGCCTCACTGCTGCCACTTTGCTGTGTAGAAGTTGGAGTCACTTGACAAGATCCAGTCAACAGATAAGTCGGTAGAATATCTGCCATCTCTAGTTTAAAGTAAGCTCACTTTTTCCATGCTGGCTCCCTCTCATGCAGACAGAGGACATCCGTCTGGAACCAGATCTATACGAAGCCTGCAAGAGTGACATCAAGAACTATTGTTCTGCTGTGCAATATGGCAATGCTCAGGTAACTTTTTGCTTTTATTTTTTAATTGTAAAAGTAATGTGAAGGTAACATTTTAATAATTAATCCTTTGGGTGGTGGGAGAGGACCCATCACATCCTATTCAACCTAATCATCCCCTCTTAAGCTACACCAGACTGCTTTCCCAGGGTCCTCACCTGCTCTCCCCTCTTTCTCCTTACTCACTCTCTTCCCTCTTTCAGATTACCTCATCCTTACCCACCTGTCTGCCTGGTAAAGTCCTAATGACCCTTTAAATGCCGCCTCCTCTCTGTGGCCTTTCCCAACTCTCTGCACCTTCATAATTAATAATTCCCTCATTATGTTCCCATTGCACAGAAGTTCTTCATTAGCGGTCACATAACAATCACCTAGGAAACTTTTTAAAATACACAGGAATGGGGTCTTATCCAGTATCACCAGGAATGAAGGGCAGACAAGTGATTTTTTAAATGTTCTCCCTATGACTCAGCTACCTCTTCTAGTTAAGGGCATTGCCCTGGCGCTTTTAGCCTTTGAGAAAATTACTTCATTGTCTTTTTGTATCTACTAATGCTCACCTGAGTCTCATTTCTTGGTAGTTTACCTCTGATAGGTTTTAGAGTTTTCTGTTTATCTTTAATGGCCTATAATTTCAGTGCGATGTGATACGGTATGGTTTTTTTTTTTCCCCCTTATTCCAGTTGGCTCTTTCAGTCTCAGAATTTACATCTTTCTACAGTTCTGGGAAATTCTCATTGTTCTTTCAAATACTGCTTCCTTTTGCCTTCCTTCAGGAACTGCGATTAGACGCTTGGAGCATCTGAGCGTCTCCTCCATGTCTCTTAACTTTTTCTTTCATGCTTTCCATTTCTTTGTTTCTTTGTACTGCATTTTGGGTAATCCTTAATTCTATTTCCCAGCTTAATAATTTATCTTAAGCTCTGTCCATCCTTCTCTTTAGAGAGACCACCAGTTTGGTTTTGTTTTTCATTTCCTAGGTCGCTAAATGGTTCTTTTCATAACTACCCGTTCTTGATTCTTATTTACCATTGCCTTCTGTGGTGTTCTGAGGATTTAAAATATATTTTTGAATTCTCATTTTGATTGCCATATTACCTTTTTCCCCTAAGTTTTGAGTCCTTGGTTTACTTTATTTATCATCTTTCTTATGATATGTGTTCCTCAACTAGTCAGTGATTCCTGGTTGTGCCTTGAGCATTTCCTAGAAGTTGCATGACTTCATGCTACATACTTAGCTGCCACAACTTCCTACCTGCTTTCCTTCTTTACATTTTCTACAATATCAAAAGGTTTGTACAGGGAACGGAAGATTTCAGGGTATACTTAATTCACTATCTTAAAATCCATCCCATGACACTTTATGCTTTTGTGTTATCACTCATCTTTTTTATCATATTTATTTATATAATTTTGCCCTGTGGGATGTATTTGCCAAGGCTAAGGGTTGGGTCTCACTCATACCTAGCATCCAAGAGTCTATTTTCATGTGGTAAATGGTGAGTTGAACTGAATCTCCTGGCTTGTGCCTACTGTCTAGTCAGAGTTGTTGCCCCAGGCAATGCCCAGAGGCTAATGTATACCCCCAAAAGGAATCTTGACAAGGAACAGTTCTAGAAGGCAGACGAAACCAGGAATCCTGAGTGAGTTTCCTTCCCTTTAGACTTCAGTGCAGCCTGCTAGTCATCCTAAATTTTTATACTTTGGTCTGCTGTTGGCCCTAAGGTTGTAAATCTATAAGTATAATTCTCCTTGGTGGGGAAATCCTGAATCGTGTTCCTGAGATCAGAAATGGAAGGTATTTGGATTGAAAAAATGGAGAGTACACTAAGAACTGAATACTTTAGTGAGAATACATAGATTATCCATTCCTGATATATCTCTCAACTTGACCAAATCTCTTATACCATAGATTATTGAATGTCTGAAAGAAAACAAGAAGCAGCTAAGTACCCGTTGCCACCAGAAAGTATTTAAGCTACAGGAGACAGAAATGATGGACCCAGAACTAGACTACACACTCATGAGAGTCTGCAAGCAGATGATAAAGGTGAGGAATCCAAAACCAAGGGCTAAGCACAGCATAAGTAAAAATAACAACATAAACTTCTTTTAGTTTCACCTTGTTTTACACAGCTAGGATGGTGGTGCTCAAAGTGTGGCCCCTATACCGGCAGCATCAGCACCATCTGGGAATTTACAGGTTTTTGGGACACTCCCCCCACCCACCACCCCCACTCCCTCTACAGAATCAGAAACTCTGAGTGGTGCAGGCAGTCTGTTTTAACAAGCCCTCCAAGTGATTCTGGTGCACAATCAAGTTTGAAAACTAGAGAGCTAAGATAACTAACCAATGTAAATATATGTCAATAAATATATGATTGGTTTTGAGAGCAGTTAATGGCAAGTGTACTAGAAAAGCCACCACTGAGTGTCCTGATCATCCATCTACCAAAAATAGAAAGAAATTAATTGGACAGCTAAAAATATATAGAAAAAATTAGCCGGGCATGGTGGCGCATGCCTGTAGTCCCAGCTACTTGGGAGGCTGAGGCAGTAGGATTGCTTGAGCCCAGGAGTCTGAGGTTGCTGTGAGCTAGGCTGACGCCACGGCACTCACTCTAGCCAGGGCAACAAAGTGAGACTCTGTCTCAAAAAAAAAAAAAAAAAAAGAAGTGTAAGTCTCTTTAACTGTGCCTGATAAAATTGAGTCATATGTAAAAGTGGAAATGTCAGGCTCTGATTTGAGAGAGCTTTGCAAGGTTTTATAGAAATCAACGAGCAATCCATGTCCTCGTATTAAGATATTAATAGATTATAATCACATATGCTTTAGAGAACTGGAAACAGAACTGGGAAGGGAGGCTTGATGCTGAGATGTCTCAACCAGCATTTTCAGACATAATGGCACTTTTAAAGACTTGAGGATTAGCAAAATAGAGATGAGGTTTATTACTAGTCCAAAATTGATCCCTTTAGGACAGAATAAGTGTACAGGCGCTAGCCCCACAGTGTTTGGCAGGATTTTAACCCTTATAGTTAAGATGAACCAGATGGGTGCTTTCCTCACATCTCTCTTCACATTGGTTGGTGGGTAATTCCTAGGTTTTTCCATTGGGGTTGGGTAGATACAGCTTTAGGGTTGCATGGCCACCTGGTACATCGGTACATTTGTGCTTAAACAATAAGTAAACTCATGAGATGCCATGTAATTTAACATGACTGTGTACATAGGGAATCAGTCCCATGCAAAGTAGGAACCAGTGAGGTCATAGCGAGAACTGCGAGAAATACAGTAGAGAATAAGTGAAAAAGGGAACTTGGGCTGAATGCTTATTCAGACTTACCTGCTCCTCTTGTACCGTGCAGTACCTTCAGGCTGCTGATTTCATTAGCTCTTTAATAGATGTAAGAGTGATCCCAGGTGGAGTTAATTGCCATATTTGGATGGCTGTTTCTATAATACTTTGTTTCTTTGCAGAGGTTCTGTGCAGAAGCAGATTCTAAAACCATGTTGCAATGTTTGAAGCAAAATAAAAATAGTGAATTGATGGATCCCAAATGCAAACAGATGATAACCAAGCGCCAAATCACCCAGAACACAGGTAAGATCTCAGCTTGGCTTTTCTGGTCCCATTCATTATAGCTTACTTGGAATTAAGTGGGCATATAATTACCTAATTAAACTACAAACGCTTTGTTGCCCATGAATTTTAAGGGAGGAGTCTGGCTGTAAGGAAAATGACTTACTCCTTTGAAGAGTATCCAGAAAAATGGAAATGAAAGAAGAAAACTAGGAAACTGCCCTTAAAGAATGTACAAAAGGAATCAGGACTAGAGTTCCTTGAAAAGAAAAGTCTAGAGATTTAATAAAGCTTCAAGAGTGTGGCAGGAGAATACATGGTTGATCTGTTCTAGAACAGAGTTTCAAAACATTGTAAAGTGATAGGCAAGGTGAGTTGGATACTATTTGCTTCTCATTGTTTTAAAAAATATCTTTGATGGGGAAGGTTGCTGATGTCTGCTTGATGACTACTTAGAATATTAGACCACAAAACACTGTAGAGTAGAAGGCTTCTGGGGACCCCCAGAAGTACTCTTCGATTAAATCATGTTGCGGATTAAAAACAGTGTAGTAAGGGCCCAGTAAACATTTATTGAATAAATAAATCAGTGGTTATAGTGATGGTCATTGACATAATATGCCCACTTTTAGAAGGTGGATTTCTAAAAATTTGTGAATCCAGGTGGAATATTTTATCATGTACTCACTGCTTTCTGCTCTAGATTACCGCTTAAACCCTGTGCTAAGGAAAGCTTGCAAAGCTGACATTCCTAAGTTCTGTCACGGTATCCTGACTAAAGCCAAGGATGATTCGGAGCTAGAAGGCCAAGTCATCTCTTGCCTCAAGCTGAGATATGCTGACCAGGTAAACTGGCCGGGGCTCTCCACAGAGGTGTATTTATGGAGCCACCTCTGTCCCTGGGAATTTTCCCTTTTAAAGTCCCTACCTTGCTCCTATTTTCTCAAGACCTTTTTAATTTCTTTTTCTTTTTTTTTCCCTTTTTTCTTTGTTTTTTTTTAAGAGAAAGTCTTGCTCTATTGCCCAGGCTGGAGTGGAGTGGCATCAGCATAGCTCACTGCAGCCTTAAACTCCTGGGATTATAGGTGTGAGCCACCATGCCCGGGTCCCAAGACCTTTTTCATACCCTCCCCAAGCCAGGGGTTAAGGGGCCAAATCAAAAGGTAACGTTTTCTGATAGGCTGGTGTCTTCTCCCTTCGTCACATGCAGCGCCTGTCTTCTGATTGCGAGGACCAGATCCGGATTATCATCCAGGAGTCTGCTCTGGATTACCGGCTAGATCCTCAGCTCCAGCTGCACTGCTCAGATGAGGTAGGGTTTGGGTACAAAACTGTGAACAGAGCTGATCTGAGAAGTGTTTATTGGAGAAACGTTCTTTACTTTCTTCCCCTTGAGCCCTGGATCCATGTTTAGAGGAAGGTTCATTTTCTAGACTCCCTCCGTGGTCTGAGTTCTTGTCTCTGACACTGAATTAGGCTTGATGTTAGTTCTTTCACTCAACAGTGTTGGTTCCGTTTTTCCCTATTGAACAGGGTGTTCTTTTACTATAGCTGTCTATATATAATTTATTCTTCACTTCTCCTTTGTCTCTGTAGTCAATTCAGAACACCCTAAGACTTGCCTGAAAGATAAAAGTACTTCCATAATAGCTCTAAAGAAAGGCCTATTCTTGGAAATTATTGGACTTCCTAGCTAGAAAAGGCCATATGGAGAACCCTATTTAACATGCGTCAGTTTTAAGAGATCATAGCTAAAGCGATTTCACAGAAGGTCACTCATAAAACTTTACAAAGAAAGTTAAATTTTTTATCTTCGCTCTGGGCTATGTTTTAGAACCCCTGTGTCTGTGTGTGTGTGTGTGTGTGTGTGTGTGTGTGCGCGCGCACACGCGCATGTGCTTCCAAATTGTGATTTTGGGGTTGACCCTAAACCTCTATAAATGTCAAGCATTTGTTTTTAGCACTTTACTGGGCTATATAACCTTCCTCTTGTGTCATGAAGGAGTAGCCATCTTTGCGACAAGTCCTGGGATCTGACTCGAGTCTCAGAGTTGGCAGCATAAAGAGATGTGCATTTACTGATTTTCAACTCTGTGTGCCAGTCATTGTAAAGGAGAAAGGAGCCTGGCATCCATTACAGGAAGGGTGGGAAATCCATCAGGAAAGCTGTTTGAGACGAGCCCTTGGCTCATTTGTGGGAGGATCACCAAATCAACGCATTTAGAGACCAGGGGTTCTGGTGATAGCAGTGATGGGCCAGGGAAGGGGGGGCTCAGATAGTGCAGTGTCCAGACCTGATTGGAATCACCAGACTCTTCTGCTTTTGAAACTCTCTGAGCATTTCTGTGCTCAGAGGGTAGTCTGGCTTTTTGTGTATCTCCTGAACAGATCTCCAATCTATGTGCTGAAGAAGCAGCAGCCCAAGAACAGACAGGTCAAGTAGAGGAGTGCCTCAAGGTCAACCTGCTCAAGATAAAAACAGAAACATGTAAAAAGGTAACCACCATCTCCTTTTTTTCCTCACTTTGTTTTCTCTTTCTTTTCTCTTCTTCCTTTTAATGCTATAGTCTGCATATCTTAGTACTAAAATTGAAAATCTAGGGTGGGTGTTATGGCTCATGCCTATAACCCAGTGATTTGGGAGGCTGAGGCCTGGGTAACATAGAGACTCCATCTCTACAGAAAATTTAAAAATTTGCCTGGCACGGTGGCACCCTCCTGTAGTCCCAGCTACTCGGGAGGCTGAGGCAGGAGGATCACTTTTTTACCACATTTTAATTTGGTCTTTGACCATTAAGCTCCTATAACTTGAATATTCTTTTCGCATATTCCAATTATTTGTGAATACATCTGATCCCCGTGACTAGACATGACTAGACATTCTTTAGGGCACTGTAAGTGCAATACCAAAGCAAAATGTCAATACCAATATAGAATAAGTGTTGCACATTTGTGGAAATCAATGAAACTAAAACTAGTTCATTCCAGAAATGTCACCTAAAAACAAATTTATCAAAATATTGCCACAAAACATACATTGTCTTGCAAATTAAAGATGAAATAATATACTCGATCTTTTTTTTAAAAAATGTTTTTAAAAAGAATTTCGTTGGCGTTGTTTAATCATTGAGAATGTAAATGTATAAATATTTTCATCTGCTAAAAATGTTTCTTTTTTTTTTTTTTTGA